TCTTCTATAAATATGTGAATTTTCCAGATCTTTAATAATAGTGCAGAAATTTATTATTTACTTTGTTAGGATTTCATCATCATAACACAATAGTCCCCAGCTGATTTGCTACTGTTGCGGCGAAGCTTATTGTTTTCAATTGTTACTGATTTGCTTGACGTTTTTATAATGTTATATTTTTATTATATATTTGCTCTCACAAGCATCATGTTCAACGATAATCAATTTAGCCGAGGGCATGACTTAACAGGTTAGAAGTGACAGGTGCTTCTGTATAATATAAGCATATTAATTTCTTGATAATTTTCGACCAATATGTTGTCAAAATAATCGAGACATATAATGAACCTTAATTTTAACGCTCATATAAATAAAATTCAGCTGGTGCGTCAAATCTTTCGTTTTTGTTTCATTTACCACACACTTTGATCATTGACATTCAAAAACTTTCAGTAATTGAAAACTGAAATATATTTAGACTTGCGTTTTTTTTTTTTAATTTCACTCAAAATTCGCAATCATGTTATTTTTTTTACAAAACGACGCAAGTCATAGAAATAATAACTTATGACAAGCGTGTTTACATAATAAATTATAAAAATAAAAGATAAAAAAATCTAAAATTTTTCGTCAAATTTGAAATGACAGGTAAATATGAGATCTTATTTCCGGAAATAATTGTTCCGGAGTCAATCAAAGTGGCAATCTATTTACATCATACATAAACGCTTAGTTTTATAACTTGTAGATTAAATTAGTTATAATACGGATATTTATATCATTTATTAATTTTAATATAGCTTATAAATTAACCTTTAAATGTAATCGTTACGATCATTAATTTCATAATAATATTCAAAAACAATTTTATATAAATAAATTTTTTTGATTATTAAGATAAACAAAATTAGTACGTATAATAGAAAGCAATGAAATATTAAATCGTCCGTCTCTTTGTAAAATTACATATTTTTTCTCAAAAATATTTTTTGCCATTTAATTTTATTGAGTAATACATATGTATAATATTTGATACATTTAGTGCATAACGTTGGTTTATCTTGCATATTAAAAATAATTAGTATTTATTTTAAGGTGTAATATGAATATATGATTGAATGCGGTTTCGATTTCAGAGCAAACAAACGCACGTAGGACGTTGTATGATATTGTGCAGGCAGTTCGTTGCAGTGACGCTAGTCGCAGCAGTAGGGCATCGATGTGAAGTTGTAGCGGTTTAGCGATTCGCCGAGTTACCCATTCCGCGAGTTATCCACGCAACTGCGGTCACAACAGAGTGTTTGAGCTCCGTCCTGATAGTTCATGCTCGCCGGTCCGTGAAACTACCAAAAACAAAAAAAAGAATAATAAAAAAAATCGTCTCAATTGAATTTAATCGGACCGTACTAAAAAAAAAGAAACTTATTACTGTTATTGTTGCGATAATTTCGAACCGAAGAAAATTAAATTAAATCCAAACCTATTGTGTAATGGCGTTTTTGAGATCGTCTATTCAGTGTAATAATTTACTAAGAAAGTTCGGCATAATACCAAACAGTTTGCAATCGTTGTCGACACCGTGTGCGTCTCATATACATGGAATAAATACAGATTCTTCAAAAAGTCAACATGTTGCAAGCCCAGCTCAAGCCCATGTACAGAAAGACCCTTTGGACATATCATTCAACGATCACGTTGCAGCCTTCAAAAGTAAAAAGACAAGTGAGCTCGTTCGGGCTTACATCGTCTATGCACTATGCACCTCAGAATATCTTGTGGAAAATAATATGAAGGTGAGTGCAATAATTAGTTTAAAAATTTCATGAAAGATGCTTGCCCTGACACGGAGTTCTGGTTTATCGATCGCGGTGTACTGTAACAGAGAAGCACATGGTTTCGAAAGCATTCGAAGCAATGTGCAGGACCTTTGCGATAATGCGTTTATGCGATTATGCAATGCCCTATGAACGATCTAGGAATTTAATCCTGAACTAAAATAGTAACTTCACCTCATATCACAAGCGTATTATGCAAAATATCTATTTTAAAGTATATGTTGCTCAGAACCTAATTGTAGAATATTTTGCATACACGTGAACCAATTTTTAAAATATGGTCTTATCAGTAGTTCTGAAGCATATTCAGAATCGAGAAGGGTCCGAGTACATAAATAAATTCATTTATTATGCAGCAATAATAAACACATGACGGCGTCATATTCAAATTAATTCCGTTACCTATTGGACATTCAAATTGTTTTACCTACGCTTGATCAAAATAATAGCGTCTGTCTTGCAATATGCCATCAATTATATGTAATTAGGTTTTATTTGTAATATGCATAATACCATTAGGTATTTAAAATTGATTGCATGTACCTTCTACATCTGAAATTCAGGAGTTACGTAATTCATGTCGTCATCGATTTTCCTTCCCTCTCACACGTGTACGAGGAAAGCAGTGAAATTCTGTTGTTCCTCAAAGGTTCTCCATAAATAATTTGTAGACGCGCTACAATCATATTTTTTTCATTGGCTGGAATATATCGAATATGTATAAATATGTGTATGCGATATATTCGTACGAATTAGCTAGCTACTTTGACAATTGTAAAAAAAAATTAACTATGAATCATGTTTTCAATTCAATCAATTCAAGTATTTCAACAAAATTCTGTGAATTTGCACAATATTTATCAAATCTGCTATTTCATCAATTGTTTATGCAAATGATTTTTTTATATGAATGACGATCATATTTTAAAATTAAATTCAATAAGTTCAAACTTCCATTGATTTGTGATAAACAGAAAATGAATCATAAGTTCAATGATTACCATTTTCGAAGTAATTATGATGTAATTTTTTGATCATATCATTTTGGACATAATTTCGAAAGTATTTTAAACGTTAGTTAGGTAAATTATTTTACTCTATGCTATATTATTTAAACGTTTATATTTTCGCACATAGTACTTCATTGCTCAATGCGCCTATTTAGGGGTGTGGGGCTTGCGTATCGATCGCGGATATGGACTACTACGAGCAGGGCGGTGTATGGATAGTAAACGGTAGATTGTAGATTCAATACAATTTCTATATATTTGTCGTAAAGGAAATGAAATTTGTTTAAAATCAACTTTAGTCTATTTTTAAATATTATTCGTATTTGATTACAACAATTGCGAAAAACATACGGCAGGTATTGTTTAAATTATTTACTAGTTTTTAATTTAATAAATTAAAGCAAATTGCTGGTATGACCCGTACCATAATTTAGTATTTTTAAACTTTCAAAAAAGAAGAATCAGATGTTTTCCACATTTTTTTTTTTTTTGAAAATTCTGATAACATTTCAAATTTTGACTATTGAAAAAATTCCTTTTTTTTGAAAATACTGATATTTTCTGAAAATTTTGCATTTCTTGAAAGTTTTTGATTCCCATTCATATCGGTTGCTTCAAATTACAAAATATCTAATTTTCGACCGCCAAATGTCTTTTTTTTTTTCAAAACTTTTTCTTTGGATCTTTGAAACCGCTGGACTGTGGTTTCAAAAAATATCTGCCTATGCAAAAACTTAATCAATCTTTACTACGTCAATACAATTGGAATGTTTTTTGAATCATTCAAATCGGATTTTCTGTTCTCTCACAAACTAAATTGTTATTTTCTGCATTCTTTGCTCCGTGTCTCCGAAACGGCTGAACCAACTTTTACCAAAAACTAATCAGCACGTCTAATCAATAGGAATTGATACCTTTTGAATAATTGAAATCAGTTGAGCGGTGCTGCCGAAAACATTTGCGAAAAATTATAATTATTACATGCATACGGTATGCGAAAATGTTCAGAAACGTTTGAAACGTAAAGATATGCAAAAATTTTCATTTTCGAATTTTTACGATTACTATAACTTACCCTACGGGAAGTTGAAATAATGCATTTTAAAAGTGGTCGCGTCTACTGAAAAAAGTCAGTTGTGTTCTGTGTTCGATACGTATGAAATATTGTGCAAATTTTGAGCAATGATTGATCAAGGGTCACAAAAAATATACAATGCATTTAATTCTTCTGAAGCTTCTTTTATTCATCTGCTATCGTAATTTTACTTTCATTTTTTTGTCAATCAAATCTTAATACAAAATTGTTGAAGATGAAAATAAAAAAATTAAACCTATATACAAAAATATAAATGTAAATAATAAACAGAATATTAAGAAAACAAAATAACTAAACATTGAAATAATAATCTCAATTATATTGTACTCATTATCCTTCCTCATAAATTAATATGGATTTCAAAATAGACCTCATGATGTTGTTATTACTATATTAATACTTCGTAATAAATGATTTTTACGATCGTATACCAATTTCGAATATTCATCCAATCACCGGTCACATCACAATCACATCAGTTTTTTAATTTTTTGTTTTGCTCAAGTTTTTATTTGTATTTTCACTTAAAATTAGGTTTTTAATTTAATCTTCATTTTTTTAGTTTTAAATTTATTAACCCCCAAAAATTTTATTTTTTTGTATAAGAAGATTTGAATTGAAGTTCGAATAAATAAAATGTCAATTTACTAAATGCAATTTACGGACTGTACTTCTTAAGTAATGACTTCCAGCTTTATTTTCAATTTATAATTAACTTATGAGAAAACATATACCGCATATTTTTTCCGTCGTGTGCGTAAAAATAGATGAATCATTTGTAGAGAATCTTATGATGGATTGATGAATGTGTACACGTGCTTAATTACGTAACATACGAGCACTGCCGCTAGTTCAGCGCACTGACTGCGCTTCTACATTTTTTCGAAAAATATTACAATTAATTTTACTGTAAAATATATTCAATTTTAAGTTTTTTTTCTCAAAATCAGTCACTGCTTTTTGGCATTTTTTGCAAAATGCATCATTTTTTTTGAACTATATGAACATTTCATTCAAATTTTAATTTTATTCAAACGAAATCAATACTGAAATTCAATGAAATTAATTTTTTTAAGCGAGAAAATGGATTTTCTAGTTAAATGGATATTTTAATTGTGACTCGTGGTCCAGATTGCCAAGAGACGCAATATGATATATCAAATAACGAAAATTTTTATTTGTATGGGGTCATTTGAGATTATAGTTTAATGTACTTTGTATATTTTACCACACATTTTTGAATATATATTAAAAATAATTATAAAAAAGAATCTTAATCAAGCGGAGTATGAATAAAGACCTTATCTCATATTTTTAAGATTATATAAACTGAATTGTAAAATTATTTCAAATATATAGGTGAGCTATAAAATTTTACCCATAATCAAAATTAACCCTTCCGACTCGGATGCCGCTGCTCCTCAAAATTCATATAAATAAATCTAGGAATTCGCGAGTGGAAAGTGTTAAAATCCAAATTATTTTCAATATTAATAGAAATATTGATAAGAGAAAAAATAATGTTTAGAAATTTTATTAATTACAATTAGAAAAAAAACTAGTGGGGTGGATGGCATCGTGTCTTAAGGCAAATTGCTGGAACTTCCCGTACCGTAATGAAATGTTCGAGGAATACTGAATGTTTTCAAATAGATTATTATAAATATTGTAACATTGTCTAATATTTTTTATTTCATAAATAATTTTTTTTTCCAAAATCAATTATTTTGTTAAGACAAGCAGAAAGTTCTTTGAATCATACAAATCGGACGCTTAGTTCTCTCAAAAACTGCCATTCTTTACATATTTAGCTCCGTATCTTCGAAATGGCTGGGCCTGCCTTTGCCAAAAACTAATAAACACTTCTCCCAATCATTACTAATTGAATGTTTTTAGATCATTCAAATCGCATACTTCGTTCTCTCAAAAAGTCTATTTCTATTTTCTGCACTCTTTGCTCCGTATCCCCGAAACGGCTGGACCTGCTTTTGCCAAAAACTAATCAGCTCTTTTCCCTATCGATAGGAATCGAATGTTTTTTGAACCATTCAAATCGGTTCATCCATGCGCCCGAAAACGTGACTGGAAATTTGTATCCATACATACACACACACACACATTCATTTTTTCTGAGGTATGCCAAAATGTTCAGAAACCTTCAAAACGTCGAGAAATGTAAAAATTTTCAATTCCGATTTTCGGCCCATTACAATAACTTACCCTACGGGAAGTTAAAAAGTAAACATAATCTTAATCAAGCGGAGTATGAATGAAGTCCTTATCTCATATTTCTAAGATTATATGAACTGAATTATAAAGTTATTTCAAGTATATAGGTGAGCTATAAAATTTTACTCATAATCAAAATTAACCCTTTCGACTCAGATGCCGCCGCTCCTCAAAATTCAAATAAATCTTGGAATTCGCAAGTGCAAAAGAAATATTGATAAGAGAAAAAATAATGTTTAGAAATTTTATTATTTACAATTAGAAAAGAAATAATGTTTAGATTTTTTTTTTTTGAATTTTAAAATCAAAAATTTTTTCGCTTTCCCCAAAAACTAATCTTTTGATCCAACTTTCTTCACCTCCTATTTCAAAAATTTTCTTTTTGGATTATTCGACGATTACTATAACCCTACCCTACCTAGAAAGAATTCAGTCGTCATTTAGAGATGTTTGAAGATCCTTACTGAAATTTATTTAAAAACTATATGAATACATTACAAGATCTTCATCGCGTTTTCATTTTCACTTTCATCATTCCTCGTTTTGGTTACCGTTATGTTCCATCCATCATCTCAAATTTCGCGGACGCGGACCTGTCAATCCACAAGAATTGGCTTTAGACA